TCCTGCTGTTGTTTTTTTATCCTGATGAATCTGACAAATTTATACCTCATAGCATAGCTTTTTAAATCTTCCCTGGTCAGATTCCAGTTCAGCAAGATATAAGCAAATGTTTTAAATGGATGAGTTATCGTCTCTATAACATTATTAACCTCCTTAAGACATGATACGCAAGATTAAGTATTTTGAGGAATACTTGCATCCACTGGATATACCCACATAAGGATATCCTGTAGAAAGACCACTAATGAAGAAAAAGATGATTCTGAAGACTCAAGGAGAAAAAGCTGAATTCACAAGCTTTCTTTTAAAACAGTCATGAGGGAAGTAGCAGAATGGGTTGTATCACTAAGGGAAATCCTCTTCTTGTCATCTAGATGTTGAAGACTATACAGAATTTTAATTTTCTCACTTGAAACTTTTTTCTCGTGGTTTGGATGATTATTTCCTCTTTTTCTGCATTCATGGAGGAACAGTGCTTCAGAATTGGGGGTTTTCTTTTGCCTCCCCATCTGTTCACTAGGACAACACATTGCAATGGTTGGAGAATGAGCTTAGAAATTCCATAAAGCTTGAGTTGTCTTAGGACCAAGTTCGTGTGTGCAACATTGTGATTTTTTTTTTTTTTTTTTTTACTTAGCAGCAGAGGAATTGCTTACTCTGATTTAAAATGCTTTTTAACATTAGCTGTATACATGCATGTGAAACAAAACCATTGAGATCTCATATAGATGCCATCACTATATGCAGTCTGTTATTATGTAATAAATTAGTTACCACTCGTACAGTAAAAAGAACTATTGTGAAATACCTTCTTCTAACATATTACGCTCCTTTTCATATGCCTGGCATTACTTTTTTTTTTTTCCCCCTCTTAATGGCTTCTTTCATGAAACCCACAGGGATTTAGGGACAGATAACTGAATTGTGACAAGTTTCATGCTTCTTTCCTGAAAGACAGCAAGGAATGCAGGAAATAGTTGTCTGAAAAATACAGAAGAGGATCATGTACAGTTTGTGCACGGGAGGATCTGTTTCATTTCAACAGTATTTTTTTAATCAGAGTTGTATGCGGTCTGATTTGTATCAGCCATAGCACTAGAAATGCAAGAGTGCTGGACAAGTTGGTACAGCTCAGGTTTAACACTTTGCCCAAATGTACCGTCTGCCCCTTGCAGTGAGTAACCACTGAAGAACAGATAACATTTCCTAGCCTGCTTTCTGTTAGGGACTAGACTACTTTCTTATAAATTCATGGCAAGGGCTAAGCCAATGTTAAAGTCAAATTTTCTTGCTCTTCCACTTATTCTTCGAAACTTTTTACTGAATGGACAAACTCTGTAGCATCACACCGCTTCCAAGCAGAAAGGAATAATTTATGCAGTCTGCTTTTTTTCCTCCACTTCTAGATTTTGCAGTAGATTATTTTTGAGAAGGGCAGGGATATTTTTTTGGAGTGTAAAAGAATAAAGTTTGGGTAGAGGTGAAAGCGTGAAGATGAGATGGAGAAGCTTTTCAGAGCAAACAACTGCATGCGCTTCTCCTTATTTCTCAGAAACCTGAGAGTTGTGAGACTACCCGAGTTGTGAGACAGGGTGTGCATGTCTGAAGCCTGGTGTGGGTAATGAGATGTTGCTACCTTAAAACGCGATGATTTGCAGGTGAGTTGGACAGAGGAAGATCCTGGAGTACTTCAGACTGGAACATTTAAAGTATAAGAGCCTGTTGGATAGGAAGGCATTCAGTTTTGGTTGTTGGGGGTTTTTTTTCTTTCTTCATTGATGGCTGGTAGGTTTCTTTGCAGTTTCTCTTTCTCTCTGAAAATAGCACAGATCTTGGTTGGGGGAGTTTTTTGTTCTTTTTTGGGGGAGGGGCTGTGGGGTAAGATTGGAAGGCTGTAGAGTGAGCCCAGTTCCTCTAGCCATGCAATCCATTTCACAGTGACCTGGTAAAAATTATAGGTTTCTTGCTTTGTTTTTTTCCAATTTTTATCTGGATTTTTGAGGAGCTTTCTCTGTTTCATCCACATTGACTCATTTCTGTAGAGTCGACCAGTTGATGCAGGAAGGTTGGTTCAGAAGGCACATATAAGTGCAGACACGTGCTACTCTACCATTTTTGCCTGCCTGCAGTAGCAGAATGTGATGAATGACAAATTGAAAAGCAGAACTTCTCTGCAGAAGGGGTGTGGGGACCTGCTAATACCTAGCAGTATTGATCAGGTGTAGGGCATCTTTAACCACAGGAGACTACGCTGAAGCAATTGGTCTCTCTCTTTCTGTTGTTCCCATTCTTCTAGGGGCTCTGATTGTCTTTAATACTGTCCTTTTCTCTCCTCTGTGTTCTCAGCATCTATGAGATGTGTTGGATAGGTATTCTTTTTTTTTTTCTCTCTTTGTCCTAAAATCAATTCTACCGCATCTAAAGGTTGATTTCCTTTGTGACCCATGTTGGTCACTTCTGGTCTGTGTTCATCCCATGGGTGCTCAGCTGACATCCTGTGTCTGTGCTCTTGGGGGACAATGTCACACCTCAATTCTTTCTACTGCAGTCCTTCACAATATTCAGATATCTTCCCAAACTGCTCCAAGCTGTGCCCCAGCATCTTCAAAACCCAAGCCAGTCCTGGTCTGTATCCTGGCTGACCCCAGGTTCATTTAATGTGTATCTAGAGGCAGATCACAGGGCAAGCTGGGCAGTAGGCTAAGCCCAGATGTTATGCTTTACTGAGCTGTACTTCTTTTCCCTGGAAACAGGATGTTAATAATTCAGCCAGACTGCAGCTAATGCGACTCCGGAGTCAACGCTGGGGCCGGGAAGCAGTTGTCTGCAGAGAAATGTTTTGACAAGTACAAGCTCATGCAGTGAAATGAGGATGAGCAGCTGGAGCGCACAGGCTCCGTTCACAGCTCTGCCGCTGGCTTTTCTTGGGCGAAGAGCCCGCGGAGCCAGCCGCAGCCCTGCCTCCGCTGCATCGTGCACTCAGCTTGCAAAGTTATTAATCTTTTCCCTTCTAAAAGAACTTGCCTTGATCCACTTAATAGAAGACACTGTACAGAAAAATTCTGATTATTCATTTATTTATCAAATTACTTTTTGTGAATTAAATGGGCTTTACCAATGCAGGGCCAGGGATGTCGGCTAACCTAGCTCCACAGCTGCAACACATACAGTGCCTCTCAGTGCTGAAAGTGATATTTCCTGTTAAGACTGCACATTTTGAAGGGAGACGGTTCGGTGGGACATCAGCGCTTCCTACGCTATAAATAGCCCAGATGAGTATCACTTTCAATCTCAAAGGAATACATTTCTAATTTCTTGAGGGAAGTGACAGTATCTCTGGCCGGTTTCCCGGGGAGTTTTATACGGGCTGATGATGCCTCCTCACACTCGAGAGTTGACTTGCTCGTTCATGAATGAGCACGCTTGTTGCAGCGCGTAGACGTTTCGAGAGCGATTAGTAGCTTCAGAGGCACGGTACTGCAGCTACGGTCAGAGAAATCCTTGCTGCCTTAGATTGCTAGCTGGGCAGAAAAGGCGAGCGAGAAATAATGTGGCAGGCCGTAGGTTGACTTGTTAAGTGGACAGCAAGGTTTGTGAGGAGGGGAACTACCAGTTTATTCATAGATTTCCTGCCGTGTTCAAGTAAGGGTGATTCAGCAAATGGGGTTCCTTGAGGACAGAGGTCTAGAGGTGACCTCTCAAGAGCTGCATGCTCCTCCCTCGCTGTGCAGCTTGCACGTGCCGCATCCTCTATTTCTGAGCCCTGCTGCTGCTGTTGTAAGGCAGGAGCTAGTGCAGGAAGCCCAGGTAGCTGAATATGCTGGCTCAGTTGGTCATTTTTGCAAGCTTAAAAAAAATACAATAATCTTTTGTGTTCAGCGTTTTGTTCATCTGATTGTATGAGTTGGGAAGCTGCACGTGTAAATGAAAACAACAGAGCTGGGAATTTGGTTGATATCGGGCTTGAATGAGAATGCTTCCTGTTGTTGTTTCTAAATACTGGGAAAATTAAATCTCAGCCCCTGATCCCACTCAGATTTAGAGATAAAACCATAAAGAAAACAGGCAGCTAATATATGTTTGTGGTTGTGCCTCCACCGTGCGTGAGGGTTTGAGAACCTTGTCCGGAGCAACCAAGAGAAGGTTCTGGGGAAAGACCATCCCACAGTTTGAAACAGCAAGTACTGTATACTAAAAGAAGTTCCTCCTCTATGGCCTGTGCCATAAGGGTGCTGCAGATTGCCTGATCACATAGCACCTGCTGAGCCACATGCTTGATTTTAAAATTAAATAATAGTTGGGACCAGAAAGAGGACAAATGAGTGGATGCTGTGACAGAATTCAGCTTTCTTGGAACATCCAAAAGAAGCAGCTGAAACTTTGGGGCTGATACTGTTAATTTTTGAGTATTAAGGAGAGTTAAAGACCATCTGAGTGGTGATGCATAACAACAGAACAAGAAGTAGGCAAAGGGAACTATACCAGTGTGACTCTAGAAGGTAGCAGAGAGCTGGGCTTCAAGGACTTACTTGATTATGTATGCCTGGCATAAATAATCAGGCACGTTGGTTTTTCCAGTTATCATCAGCTCAGTGGAAGAAAATGCATCTGCTCTGTCAGCCGGTGTAGATGCAAGTAAAAGGCATGGAAAAAATTCTCTGCGCTCTGATTTATTAGTTCCCAAACTTTGGTCCATAGATAAGTAACAGTCTACAAGGTAGCTTTAAGTGAGTCTTCAAGAGCAGTGCTGCACAGTAAATCATGTAGTATGTCATTACAAATGTGTAAAGGTTAGAGGCTGTTGGGGGTGAGCAGCAGTGTGCCGAGTGCTGCTACTCGGGTGGAACGAGAGGAAAGCTGAACGAGTTGGAGGAGACCAGGGAGGTGGAGCAGTCCCCTTGGATCCCTGAGAACAGGTTACAGTTCCTGCATCCTGAAGCAAATGCGCTAAATCACTTGGTGTTTCTGCTGCAAGAAGATTTCCTGGCCCAGAGTTATTTCTTTACAAAGCTCTGTCTTGTTCTGCCTTTTCACTGCTTGCTAAATGTACTTATCTGTACAGAGGCACAGAGGCATGTGATTCATTCTCCTGGGAAGATCCGTTTTCCCCTCACTGCCAGGCTACAGCCATTTTCCATCCATTTTGCTTTCCAACAGCTACTCTTGTCTCTCTCCATCAGCTACCTCACTAACATGGCTACCATTTCCTCATTTTTTAATTTTTTTTTTTTTTCATTAGGTGAGGCAAGTGTTCGGGCTTCAATGGCATCATCCAGGCATGGGTACAAAACACAGTGACGAGGGAGAGAATTAATCACCGCACTAAAATGATTAATTTTTTTTTTTTTACCATTTTGCATCCCACCGTTGCATTTCAACTAACAAGAGGTTTCTGTCTTTAACCTTTGTGCTTTAACTGTTCGTTCAAGTTTTGCCACACGCTGTCATAATCACTAACAAGTGCTTGGGTTTGAAGGTAATTGTGTTTATTTTCTGGTTCATGCTTCAGGAAAAATTAAAACTTGATGCTGAGAGGGAAAAACTAGAGAGGCTTCAGGAGCTTTACTCCGAGCAGAAGACGCAGCTTGATAATTGCCCTGAGTCCATGAGGGAACAATTACAGCAGCAGCTGAAGAGGGTCAGTAGCAAGTTTCAAGATTGCACTAACTCTTTTTTTGTTGACTTTTTTTTTTTTTTTTTAGTTAAGTGTGACGTATTCTGTTTCAAGTGTCCCGTGTCTGAACGTATTTGCAACTTACAGTTGTTGGTAGCCACGGGGGTTATGCTTTTTTGTTGAATGCTTGTAATAGATAACGTGCGCGGCGGCGAAGGCGTAGAGCGTGAACGGCCCGATTAGAAATCATTTTGCGTTGAATGTTTTTAAAGCTTTGGGCTACGTGCCTGTAGATAGCACCTTAGGGCTGCTGGGTGGTGTGGAAGCTGTTGTGATGTTTAGGTGGCTGGTGGAGCATCGCTCTTTACCTGTGTGAGCAAAGGCAGGAACTGAACTTTGGTCAGTGGGATCAGCCATTTTAGCACCCCTTCCCTGCTTTCGTTGTTTGATCCTGTTGTGTGCTTCTCCTCTGCAGTGCTGTAAATGGCTGTCTCAGTGAAGCCACGGATAACTTCTTTGGTCCAGTATATAACTTAGCCGTCAGCCTGAACTGTGCTTTGAAAAATTCATTTTGAAGATTATACCACTTATCAAAATAGCTTTATTTTTTCCTACATATTCAACAGTTGCACACGGGTATAATAGCCTTTGCATAAAGTCTCACTGCAACTTGATTTTATTCTGTACTATTTGTAAGCGAAAAAGCTACCATATTTTTCTGTGGAAAGATTTTAGTATTAATTAATGTTAAGTGGGTTCTACAGCAGATACAGTTAGCTTTGGGGGACGGGGAATAATTTTCAAAGCGTCAGTACAGCAAGCTCAAGAGGCCATCTGAAAGTCAAACTTGATTTTTTAATTTTGTTTTTTTTTCTTGCTTGAGTGTTTGTTTCAGGAATAAGGGTTGTAATAGCAGGGACCAAAAAAGGGTTTTTCTGCTTTTTAGGAAGTATTCTTTAGATTTTGGTTTATTTGCAGCACTCTATTTTAATAGTCTTTTTCAAAGAGCAAAAAGTAAAAAAGTCCAGCTTTGGAAATAACAATATTAAATTCTTCTGTAGCAACTGAGAAGTTTGCTGGTTTTGAGATGCTTGAGGATTTTTTAAGTTACCTTTTAAAAAAAAAAAAGGCAGTATGATGTAATATCTGCTACATATTAAAAGGAAAGGAAGCCTTTCCTGTGCAGTCACATACTTGAAGGTATTAATTCATGACAAGTTGCAATCTTGTTGCTGTGGGATGGTAGTAAATAATTTTTCACTATTGACCACCCGAGGCTTCTAGAAATCTGTTCAGTTAAATTTTTTTTTTCTTTTTTTTTTTTTTGTCCTTCTGAGTTGGCTTAATGATGATTTTGCATTTGCAAGTGGGGGTGCAGTTAAATGTCCGGTTAGTCCTATTGCACGTTATTCCAGGCCAAGGGCAGTGAAAGCTAGCGGTGGCTGCTGTGGTCAAAGCAGAAGTTATCCCTGAACTAGTGCACAGTAGCTCTCAGGTGCACATCAAGTGTGAGAGCACTTGCGAAATTACTGTAAGCATCCTTCGCTGTTGGGGTGAAGGCACCAGCGTTTGTTCGTTTGCTCTCACGCGCCTGGGTTTATGGAGAGATGCGTAAATGGGGATGAGAATAGATGCCCGGATTCCTGCAGAGATCCGGAAAGACTCTGTCCATTGCTAGGAAATACCTTACTCTTCAGATAAAATTCTCCTAATTTTTACAGGCGGTGTGGGCCCATGGAGCTCTCACGGCATCCAGAAGTAAGGGGCAGGTTCTCTCCCACTGAATTTTCTCCAGTGGTGTTTGTTTGGCACTGTTTCCTTGGTGGACACAGTGGTACAGGATACGGTGAAATTCTTGTTCCATAGCACATCTGGCAAAGAATACAGCGTTTTGTGAGCTCGGCTGGCTACCAGTTGCCCTACTGGCTCTGAAGTCTGCTCTTCTGCTTCAGTAGCAATTAATGTGGTGTGAAATAGGCTGAATTTGTTGACTTTCATGGCCCAGGCAAAGCCCTTCTGTTTGTTTTCAATGCTGAAGATGGCTGGCTGGTTTGAATGAAACATTTCTGTACTGTAGGTAACTGCTTGCTTGTAATTTTTAGCCCACGCCTTTGCTTTTGATCTCTTCACTATCTCCTACCAGTGAAAGGCACTTCTTTGGAGAATAATGGGAAGTTGTTGGTGTTTCATATAGTAACTTGGATTCTTCAAGTTTCTGCATCCCTTGTCTTTCCCTGGTACATTGGTAGCTGGTTTTGAACGCCTTTATAGAGACCTATCTGCTTCTCTCCGCCACTAACCTTTGCCTCAGGTCAAAATAAGAAAAGGAGTAAGCTTGCATTTCTCTAAAATGATAAATTGCTTACAGGATGTAGGTTTTCTTGCCTGACAAGTTATGCACAATGTGCCTATTTTATAGAGCCTTAGCACTTAATAATACTGCGATTACTAAAATCGCCTTTTTCATCAGGGCTCTGGAACCTGTAAGTAGGAATGTGTGTTAGGAATACACAGACGTTGCAGGAGAAAGACTAACATTGGGTTCTTGTGCTGAAAAGCACCGTCAGTTTTATCTTGCCGTCCCTAAGCGGAAGGCAGGTGTGTTCTTATTTCTTGGGTCTTTTCTGCAGCATTCAACCTCTTTTTCCTGGCAAAACTTGGCGTTGGTGCAGGGGAATAAGTGCCTAAAAGTGGGCTGATAACGCTTTTTGGAAGTCATACACCTACTGCCTCGGGGGGGTGACTAGAGTCCTTAAGTGTCTATTTGCACGGGGAGCAACTGTCGGCTCCGATTTGGTGGTCCACGATCAGCCTCTGGCTGAGCAGCTTGCACGGTTGGACATCGCCGCCGAGGTGATGGCCATGCGCTGACGGCACACGGCTCCACGTCTCTTTTGTGTTACCTGACTGTAGGTCTGTTAATAAAAGCAGGGCTGGTACTTGGGCTAGACCTGAAGAAGTTCCAACTGCAGTTCAGGCTCCATCGTTTGAGTGTGTGGTTCCCAGAAGTAGTTAACCCAGTGTGCCATTCCCTGGTGTGGCTGGGATGATACTTTCTGTCCTTTTTGGCTGGTAAGCAGATGCTCTCCCGGTTTGGCGTGTGACAACCTCACCGAATGGGTTCAGGCTTCGGTGGTGCCACCGCTAGGCTACGGCAGAGCGGTCTGCCCAGCCAGGGCGTGCGGGGTGCCCAGCTTGCTCCGAACGCTGCCGAGCCGCTCCCTCGCCACGACGGTGCTTCGCCTTTCTCAGCGGGGCGGGACGGTGGGAGCGATGGAGCAAGCAACGTCAAAAGAACGATTAGCTCCATTTGCTCTCTGATTATGACAGTAGGTCACTAAGAACATTGAGCTCCTGTTTGAACATGTTGTGTGAGATACCTAAATACCATCTTAGACTGACTTGTGTGTGTCTTTGTAAGTATCTCTACTCTGGTTTCAGTGAAAGCATGATTACTTTCTTTTTGCCCGCCCCTTAAGGATGCTGATCTTTTGGACATAGAAAGCAAACACTTTGAAGATTTGGAATTTCAGCAGCTTGAACATGAAAGCAGGTTAGATGAAGAGAAAGAAAACCTGACGCAACAGCTGCTACGTGAAGTAGCTGAATATCAGCGCAGCATTGTCAGTAGAAAGGTAAAAACAATAACAGTTCACTTGTTCTTTGTTGTTGAGCATAATGGAGATTAAACGGATCTACAGCCTACCCATCTGTGAGAAATAATGCAAAACTTTCCTCTTTGACAAAGCTTTTGAAGCAGAGCAAAGATGATGGCCCAGGAACATCCGACACAGATCAAATCATGCACTTCTCCAAAAGGAAATAAATCAATAAAATTTCATGCCCTGTTTGCATATTTGCATATGAAAATTAAACCCTTTAGTTTGCTACAAAGAGTACCAAAGCGTTGTTTTTCCTTCTTTAAGAAAGGAGATTTGTACACTCTGGACAAAACTACAGTTATTTTATACTCATGATTGATGTTAAATGATTTTGTTAAAATAATAATAGAACACCAAATTGTTAAATTTGTATTGTATTTGTAAGGTGTATTTTTAAATACCCCTTAATTTTTAAAATCAATTGTAAAGGTCCTATCTCAACCAATTAAATACCAGTTTTTCAGCGGTGAGAAGTTGCATTTCTAAACCAGTTCTGTTCAGTATATGGATGTTAGTCACCATATTATCAAAGAATACGTGCAGTTCTTTTGTTGTGTCTCTTGAATAAATTGTCTCTTTACTGTCTAAATCTTATTTAATTATCTCCTTCAGAGCAGTGAGCTGTCTTGTAAAAACTTGTTTTCCTACTGCTTCACTCGTGAATGAGAGAACTCTTATGAATAGGATCCTTGCTGCAGGTTGTCTTGTGCTTTGAAAATAAAACATGTAAATTGTGATTGTTTTCTTTTTATGTTAGGAAAAAATTTCTGCTCTCAAAAAACAAGCCAATCATATTGTCCAACAAGCACAAAGAGAACAAGATCATTTTGTAAAAGAGAAAAACAACTTAATAATGATGCTGCAAAGAGTAAGTACTTACTGTCTTTCAAATATTTTTAGCATGTAATAGAAGAGCATTTCATAGAAGAAAAGAACATAGAGCACTAGAAAAGCATCAGGTGTGCAGAAGCTAGCAAGTGTAATAACGTGATAGACATTGTTGTATCCGTTAAACTTTAAAAAAAAATCTTTTTAATTAATCATCAAATTTCCTAAGAGAAAACGCTAGTGGCATTTGATAACCAAGAGGGTTTTAGGTGTGCCTCCCTTCCAGAGGACTCAACCAGAGGCATCCGCCCGGGTGCTGAAGCTGGAAGCCTGTGTTCCCTGTGTGGCTGCTGGAACTGTGCACAGGGTGCTCAGATTTTTGGCTTGTAATAGCCCATACTCGGCCACAAGATGAGCTACTTAACATCAGCTGACATCCGGTTAATCAGAAGCTGGAATGTACCCTTCGCATCTGTTTTATGTTTTACTTTTAATCAGGAGGGAAATCATATTGTAGTTCATTAAGCAGAAACAGCATTTTCAAAATGCTGAAGGAAGACCTGTTTGGTTTGAAATCTTTCACTAGCTTTTCGTTCCGTACCTCCATGTTTTCTTCAGTTCTGCTGTAAATGGATGAAGCTGAAGCTCTGCTGTGCAGTTTCTAGCCTTCTATCCCAGCGTGTTTCTTTACATGGTTAAGAAAATGGCTAGCCTTTATTTTCACTACATGGCTGTTGGTATTTAGCATAAAATGTCTGTTTTTAACAGGAAAAAGAGAATCTCTGTAATCTGGAAAAGAAATATTCTATGCTTTCCGGAGGAAAGGGATTTCCTGTCAGTCCCAGTAGTCTAAAAGAGGTAAAGAGATTCACTGCTTTTGACTTTACCATAAGTAACTTTTAATAACACTTCATACAAAAGCACTTTAGTAAAGACCTATTTGTAGTTTGGGGGGTTTTTTTTGAGAGGTGATGAAATTCCTTTGTAAAGCTATCCATGGAAGTCCAAATGCATGGGTGATCAAAAATAGCTTCTCTTGACATTTTCCAAGATGTGACTGGTATCGCCTTAATCTCTCGCTCCAGAAAAATGATCGATTTTATGTGTCTGTGTGTGTGTGTCTAATTTTCTCAAAATAGACAATTAAACCTCATTGAAGTGAAGAAGAATGAGGTCCAGGAATAACTCCATTCAAGTACAAATACAGTTCAGTCTTATTTTTGCACTACAGATTTTATCATTGCCTCCCCTCCCTTTATTCTAAGGCTCTGTAGTAAAGCATTGTCATTTAACTGTTTTGAATAATTACAGTAAAGGTGTAAAATATTTTTTGCTGAAAAAAAACTAAGTTAGTTTGGGTAATACACGATGAGACCCAGAGCTTACCTGCAGCTGTCAAGACTTCCATAGCTTTGAGGGTACCGCTTCAAGCCGCAAGGTCTATGAGCAAGGTCAGTGTAAGGTAAGCCTTACGAGGTGAGGCTTGTAAGGTGAGCCAGCAAGCCCGTTCCAGATTCAGTCAGCACGTATGATATTAGCACATGTCCCGTATTTATCTTCCTGACTTGACTTGATGAATCTGCACATCGCAGGTAAACGTGAAGTTATAAATGGAGAGGCAGAAAATCTAGCACTTAAAATACACTGGCAGGTGTCTATGGCTGCTTCATTGCCTAAGAGGTCTGACTGGACTTGCGGGATCTGCTTGTATGGAAGCCCCGAACAAGGTCTGCCACATGTAGGTTTTGCTGCGGGAAGTTGGGCTCTTGAAGTCGAAAGCAACCACCTGTCCTTTCAGCAGCTGGGAAATGTGATGTTGCTTATGTGGCCTCCAAGTTCCTCGTGAACCCGAGTGGCCTCCAGCACATGCCAGCAGGGCTGAGCACCCTTCCTCAATGCAAGCCATGTTGCAGGTGCTTAGACTTCCAGTGTCCTAGGTTGTGTTCTGACCTGGATATCTGACCTCCCACCAGGACATCTGGCAAGTCTAAGCTTCATTTTTTGCATTTTGAGATGGATCTTTTCATTCTCTCACTAGAGAGTGGGTGCTATCTCTGATTTTTATCTTCGTACCTGCATCATGGCTTCTTTAATCACGGATATGTCAAAATGCAACTACATTAAGTGAGCCTGACGCTCTTTCTATTGAAATGGATTATTCTGCGGTGTCGTTCTGTTCACTGCAGTGAAGCCAGTTGCTCCAAGGCACATGAGAGAAGGAGCAGCGCGGGTTATCTGTTCCGTGCTCAGCGTCCCACAGGCTCCGTGCTATAACAGAGGTGCCGTTCCTTGCCAGGTGTTACGTTTGCCTCAGTCCGGCTTAATTTTTCTCTGACTGTTCTGGCACCTTGGAAAACGGGGCACCGAATGGTACACGGGCTTCAACAGACGGGAACTTCAGCGTGCGGTCGCTCACCCATCGGCCGAGTCTGCCGGCCGAGGCCCCCCAGCCCCCTCACCAAAGCACACATCTGTACCTCTCTGCCGCCCGTCGCGAAGCTCGCTCCCCGCACGCGCCGCTACGGAGAGCAACACGGCCTCACGTAAAGGTGCTTATCCCGGCACTTAAACAAGGGAGGAAAATCAGCGCTGTTTAAAAGTTCAGCGTTGACAAAATGACTCGGATGCCTAATCTGACGTGAAACCGTTTATTTAATCTAATGTAAAAGGGGCCTGGGCTAATGCACAGCACAGTCATTTGTTGTTTGCTTCTGTTTTTTTAAACCCCAGGGTGAATCCCCGTTGGGGTTGTGAGTCTGAACTGGATGTTTTTCATATAATGGTGGAAGTGCTTTTATCCTCTATAAAATTAATACAATATTGCATTCATAGGGCTTGCCAAGTTTTAGTTACTCGTATACCGCTACTACAAGATGGTTAAGCAAGTTTTATGTTTCTTCATACTGGACTCTGTTTTGCTGTAATATGGCTACATGTTTTGAGAGGTAAACTTTAGTATCTTACTCAGTCTCCTTCTCATTTAATAGTTCATCAAATAATATCAGTTAAGATTTGCCTCCTATTTCCAGAGTGCTGGGTTCACAGTATGATACTTAATTTTCCAGCATTGTATATCTGCTTGAAATAGCTGATAAAATGCATTGAAAATGATGCTAATAGATAGTAGGGTTGGTATTTTTTCCCACTTACCTTCTATGATCATTGCTAAATTTATGCACTTTTAAAAAGAAGAAATAGTATAGCCATCTGTGGCTTCTCTTACTGAATTGCTGAAGTATACATACTGGCATGTCAGTGTGCTGGTACCGTAATAGAAACATAGCCCCTTTGACACCGTCTCAATTTAAAAGCAGCTTACCATCTTGATTTAAAAAATAAGCATATTTCTGTCTCATTTTTAGGACATTCCTTCAACAGTGATTTATTCTTCCTTTTCGCATAGCCTTGTCTTCTATGGTAAGAAGTTAGGACATTTGACGTTTTACAGTCTGGCATCCTATACACCACAGATTAGAATCCGTATTTTACTTTTTAAATAACATTTGCTCAGCTAACACCAAAACACGCGCAATAATTGTATTCTACCATTATATCTCAAATCTGCCTGCATAAATCTTCCCTGCAGGCTGAAGCACACTCTTAAGTCTGTGCCTTTCCTCAGTCCGTCCCATGCCCTGTGATTGTTTGAAAGAAGAAAAAAGAGGCAAATTGTAATGGCTATGGGGCCAGCACTAATGGCATCTTACCCGAGTCTCCTGGTAACACCTAAAAGTTAGAAGCCACTTCCAGACAATGCAAATGGGAGGTGTTGTGTCAGCGTGATTTATAGAGTAGCAATGGCTTGTCCCTATGCAAGTTCTTTCCGGTTCTGTTAGTGATTTGGGTTACTCAAACTAGCTTAATAGTTAGGCAAGAAACAAATCAGGGTAAGTTATTTAATTTAAACATAAACAAAAAAAGAAATAAAAAGATGGGTGAATAAGATTTGTTATTCCTTTTCCCCCAGTCTGCTCTCCCGAGAAAGAGCTACATAATTTCTAAAGGGTATTTACGTTTTAGTAAAGTCTTTTGGTCACTTAATGAACATTTGCTTTTTGATTACACCAATGTTTTTGGAATTAAATGAAGAACAATTTTCAGAATCCGAGTATTCAACATTTGAAAAGCTTGGTGATAATTTTATTTTATTTATGATGAAGCATTTCAATGATAACAAATATTTGGCTGTATCGCTCTAAACTAACTTTCATCGTACTGGATACATTAATACTCTTGCACGTCTTTTGGCTTTTGCTGCTTTTAACTTCTGAATTCCTCCTTTTAGGGCTATATCAGTGTAAGTGAAATTAGTGAGCTGTATGGCAATTCCACGAATCTGTCCCCTTCCACTCAGCCCCCCACAGATGCTGAAGCAGTTGCCACTGAGCCTTCCACGGCTGTGCTGACGAGCCAGCCACAAAATAAAGAGGTTTGTTTGAGAGACGTTTCCCTTTGTTTGCATTGTTCTTTTATGGCTGCCTTTTTATTTTCTATTTTTTTATTTTTTGGTAATTCAACACGTAACAAATTGACCCTAAGGCAAACTGCTGTCTGCCTGCTACCGACTCAGATAACAGTTTAACAGTAAAGCTGAAGGACTGCTTCAGTTATAAGGTGTCTTTAATGATGTAGATGGGACTTCAAAGGCCAAAAAACCTGAATGCTTATGACCCAAGCAGCAATAAGTGACCATCTTTGCCTGTCAAACACTATAATGTAATGCACCTTTGGAGAAATTGTCTGTGGACGCATAGAATGATTACTTGTTCAGTGGTGCTTAGGTGTTAATTTTGTGTGTTTTGTAGCTTTTTTTTCTTTTTTTTTTCCTGTGAGGTGGTAGAAGAAGTATACCTTGAATACTTGGGGGAGATGGGTAGCTTCTACTTATCTCAGCTATTTCATGGAGTCTGTCCAATCTGTGTCTTCTAGCTTACTCTTCCTTTTCTTCATTCTTTGTGATGTTTCTGCCTTTGTAATGACGGTAGCAAATTTTGAATAAATGCCCTTTTAAAGGAATGGAATAATGTTATGAATGTAAAGCCATTGTCTTTGTGTTGCAACTGGTTTAGAATTTGGCATTTCTGTGCTGCTGCTGGTACTTAAATATGCCTCGAGAGTTGCAATACAACACATCTCTCTCCTGCTAAATGCTCCAACAAAACACAGTGCTAAAACTGCAGCTTGTATGTGCCGTATCTTTTGAGCAATTCCAAAAAGAAAACTCTGTGTGTAATTTCTCTTTTTTCTATAAAGCTAAGATCACCTCTCTGTTCTGGATTTGTGTTTCCTCACTCTCTTTCTCCTCGCTCTATTGCTCAACTTCCACCAGTCCATTGGCCTGAGGTCATGGCTACTCATGTAGACCCTATTCCTTTATCTGATACACCTCCACCTCTGCCAGCTAAGAAACACCGCAGGCAACAGCAGGTAACAGAGTCAAAGCTGATAACTTGGGATTATTTTTTTTGTTTGTTTTTGTTGTGGTGGCCCTGAAGTTGATTTATGTGTGAAGTTTTTAGAGTGATACGATGGATCATAAGTTGATCGTGCTCGCAGAGTGTTGCACTTAAAGGCACTGCTCATTTAAAAATGAGCACAATGCATTATAGAATGTTACTGAACAAAAATTCTATATAAGCAATCCAGAGGCAAATACTAATATTTAGGAGCCATTGTAACTGTCAGAAGACTTGCAGCAATAAAGTACAGGGTGGCTACATTTGAAATCCTAAATTAATTTTTCAAATACATTTGAACATTGTCTCTCAAAAGCTGTATTGGTTTTAAGCCACCAATTCATTAGAATAGCTTGTAAATAAATGTTTTTCTTTGTAATTTGATTCCATGTGTACACTAGACTTAAGGGTTTTTTATAAAAAATGAAGTACCCGGACATGTATACAAAATGTGTACGTGAATTTAATGTATCGTGTTAATCAGCATGATTTTAATGTGATATTTGTAGAAATCCTGGAAAGCACTGTGAAGCAGGAGGTACTCTGTATTTTAGATTTTGTTCTTTATAGTGAATTTCCCAGACTTATACCTTCAGTATATTCCATATAGAGTATAACTGAACAAGTAGGTCAATTCATTCTGTCAAAACTGTGTAACAAATTACATTTGAAGCATTTCAGAAATCTGGAAGAGCGAAAGAAGCAGCACAGGGAATGCATGTACATGAGTGATACTTTACCTCGCAAGAAAACGACTCCGTCTGTGTCACCGCACTTCAATAGCGCAACGCTTGGACGAAGCGTTGCATCTAAAGTACGTAGTTGCATGCTATCAATAGCCTTCCAACGTCTGTATAAAAGCCTGTAATGTGTTAGAGGTGCTGTAAGCTTTGCATAATCCCCCAAATTCACCTCTGAAATTGACTTTGAAAAAAATTCAGGTATATTAACACGTGGGAACACACATGAAGCCTTTATTGTGACCTCTGGAAGTGCTGTGCTGCAAGAGTAATCACGCATTTGTGATTAATGTATCTCAATGATTGTATTTCTGGGATAGCTTAAATTGATTCTGGAGACACAACGGGGTTTTTTTTTCATTCCTACCTAAGGCCTCTAAATGGTAAAGGTTGTGTATAAAGTGAAAATACTCTTTATTTGTGATATGGTAAATCAACGAACAGCAGCAAGGTGGAGATACTTCTTTGGAAACGTTTTGGTCTAATAGAGACTTTGCACAACTAAAATATCCATGGCTGATTTGACATGACATGATACGACGTTTATACCCATGACAAAGCACGTCATTAGCATTAGTTGCTGATAGGAAAAAAAAAGTCTTGAAGTGTAATTTTAAGCACATATTTACAAAATTTCCTGCAGGGACATTTACCTTTAGGACAGAGCAACAGCTGTGGCAGCGTACTTCCTCACTGCCTAGCAACCATGACCAAAGAGTCAGAGTCGAGAAGGATGCACAAAGGTAAGACCTTTTTATTTGATTCGTTGCTCTTAAAAGTCAGTGTTCAATTTTTCAGCAAATAAATCTGAAAGTGATATTGCTATAATCAACAGGGCTGTAAAAAAAGTTTCCTTCTTGGTGAAAAAAGCAAGCTCTAAATGTAATTTGCAAATACCAGGTGAGATGATGACATAGGTGCACATGTAGTTTTGAAGTACGTGGTCACCAAATATAATCAAGTAAGCAAGAAAAATGTATTGAAAAATACACATTGGGTTAACTGGGTAATTTCTGTGAGTGATTTTGAGGCAATATATTAAAGATACTACATGTTGCTTTCTTTTTTCTCTCCCCCCCCCTTTTTTTAAATAATTCTTTTCATGTTGTGATGTTAAAAATTGTTTTTCACCGGCATATATTTTAGCCTCAACAAAGTTAACACCCCAGATAGAGATTCAGTATCATGACTTTGAGAATCTGCAACTGCTGTTGTCACTGGTCTTAAACATTTGGGCTAGAAAATAGGAAAGGAGAGAAGTGTTTCATCATGGAGAGCTAGCTGCAATTTTGTAATAGGGAACGTGACAATTCTGGGTCCAAAAGGAAGTTGCATCTTTGAAACATGAGCTTGTAGGCTATGGCACTCTGTGTCTATTGTTTGTCCACTTGAATCGATACACTTAATTTCTGCTTTAACTGCATTATTCATTAGTGTCCCATCTTCAAATGGAGTTGCTTCAGTGCCAGCTGTCGGTTTCTTTTCTTTAGAGCATCTGCAGCATTATTATCAACGTAAGTGCAGTAGGTCCTTGTGTAGAATGGCTCTGACTAAGCCTGAGCTGAGACAGCATCCATCCTGTTGTCATAGGGCTTCTCAGAGCTAGCAGCTGTTAGAGGTCAAGGGGGCCCAGCTGAGGCCAGCCATACGCGCCAAGATGACTCAATACAGGGATGGAACAAGCTTGCTGAGAAGGGATCATGACTTGGTACAGTTTGTAGAGCTCATCCAGTTGTGATTTGGGTTTTTTGAGCTTTACATATGCAGCAGGCATACGTAAAGAAATGTGTGGTGTTTGAAATAAACACCCACCGTGTTGTGGCTAGCTTACCAATGTATTTATTTCAGATGCGATACAGAAGGAGCATCATGCTCAGCTTGGAAAGCTTCTTTGGTGTAATGCGTTTGCAAGGGTGGGATTGCTTGCAAGTACATTCATACTCATCATTATGCCGTTGTGCAGAACACGCTTTTGTTTCAGTTTGAAAATCAGTAAGGTTGGTTTGGTTAAACTTTGATGACAAGAGAACGTGTGTTCAAAATTGGAAATATTTCTGTGTAAAATGGTTGCAAAAGAGCATTAGTGTGTGACTTAAAACACGATTACAAAGTGTTATCAAATCTAATATAGGCAAAGATAAGGGTTTTAAAAATAAATAGATCAGTTTTAATGTTCCTTTTTTTGTCAGCACACAATTAAGAAAATCCTAAGAGTATATGCAGATTTCTTGACTGAAGAGTGAGAAAGAAAAAAAACAACCCACAAACCAAAACTGAATTATGGCCCGACAAAGAAAAGAGGCAAGAGAGAATGAGAGAGAGGCATTTGTTAAGGCACTTGGCACAGTACTTGCCATATGCTGTGAAGAATCATGTGTGCTGTACTGCCTGCCGTGCTAGATGATGACCATTATTCTTTGAAAGATCCAATGGTTTGAATGGAAATACTAAGTTATGAAGAGAGTCTTACAGGATTAATTCCTGCTAGGAAAGAGGACAGTTCTAGATGGCCTATTCTGAAACATCAGCTTTGTCAAAGGGAAATGATGTTGCTGGCAGGTGCTTTACTTGAAGTCTCACAGGATTTGCAAAGAGAGTCGAAACACAAAGGATGTAGGAATGCTAGGATTATTTGTGGCTTGACTTACCTCTCTTAGTAATCAGTGAAGGGTTTATTCCCTTTGCATTCAACATGGAGCTCCGTGAATATCTTGCTGTTGGAGGAGCTTGAAGAGTCCAACTGCTTTCTCTTGCTCTGAAGTGCCATGTTTCTAGGTTTCTTTGTCTCAGTAAGACACCACAAAAGTTTTTGCATGACTCTTCCTGCTGGTATGTAGTTGTCCCAGTGCAGTGCAGAGCTCAGCAAGGAGATGTCCCAAGTCAGGTGCCTGGAGTCAGATCCTAGAGCATTTCTACCCAGCTATACAAAAGGGCCAGGGCATGCTGGACACGTGTGACCACCCACACCGTGTAACTGTCTGCCAGCATCCCTCCCCCAAACTGCTCTGGGCTGCTCCGACTAGCTCACTCCACGACGAATGTGGTCGTGAAGGGAGACAGCCCTATGCCATGAGATAACCCCCAGCTGGGGCTGGAGGAACAGTCCTCCGGCATCTTTCATTCAGCCTTATAGGCATAGCCTTAACGAGTGTCGTGGTATGAGCCCGGAGGGGTCTGCGTTCAACTTGGCGTGATTTCTGGTTTCCCCTAGCACCTCATACCCATGCAGAGTGCACGGAGGAGAAGCAAGATTTTCTTCCAAGTCATGAGTAAAGGACCTGCATTTCTGTGGGACGGTGAGATTTGGGAAGTGTTTTGAACACGGCGTAGTATTTAAACAGAGCACACAGTACAACTGAAATGGAATACTATTGTCAATTAAAATTCTCAAATCTTATGTGGCTTCCACTAAAACCGGCGTGACTTGTGTCTGTGTAACTAAGATTAATTTCAGCAGATGTCCTTAAATACATCATTAAAAACTAAGCCAAATCTCATGTCAGCGGACATCCTTGGCGATGTTCTTTTATTCCATCACTCTGTGATAATGATTATTAGGTAATAAATACACTGTATTTCTTACAACAACATTATTTTTGTAGGTAGATCAGGTAGGTCAGATTTGCCTCTTTGGACTAAGTAGATATTTTGGAGGAGTAAGATCTTTCTACCAGTTCAGTGGAACTCTGCGAATGTATAGATACTGCTTATACTGATAAATATGCGCTCACTTCTCTTCCCACTCCAAAAATAAGTTGTTCACCTAAACCAGGTGATGAATAGATGAAAAGCGTCCTTGACTTGTCGTGCGTATTGAACCACTGCTTGCTCTCCTTGCGTTTCTTTTCCCACTTGGCAGGTTTTTCGCTCCGTCAGTTTTCTGCGTCTGGGGTGACGCGTTGCAAGCGAGGCGGAGGGCTGGAGTTACCCGTACCTCGAGCATACAGCTGCGCCGGCTGCACTGGCGCCGGGTGCGCTCGGCTCGGTGGTGACCCAGGGTCTCACGTGGCAAATGCCGCTTCATCCGCTCTGGAGCGCTGGCCATCGGGCAGTGTCCCACGAGCTGCTACGCAAAGGGGATGATGCGGTCCCGAAGCGGCATTAGTAGCTTACCTTAGGGTTTAAAAGCATTGAGCGAACTTCCAGGCCAGGTGTTTGGGCGTGTTCATAGAGGTCTGAAAAAAAACATATTCAATGGTGGCTGGAGGAAGAAGTGGCAGCTCAGCTCATGTGAAGATACTATCGGAGAATCGTCACTAAATTAGTAGTGCTACAAAATGAGTTTTCTCTAATTTGCCTTCTCCAGTTTTTCTAATTCAGTCCGAGAAGGTAAATGTAAAAGTCTGAGAGGAAAAAATTCAAAGTAAAAAATGAAGTCTGGAAATGAAGAACGGCCATTTGAGTTTGAACACGGATTTCAATCTCTTCGTCTTTGCGCAGGAACACGTGAATGTCTATGAATAAATTTTAGGTCAGATCCAGTAGGAGAGAGATTAGGAAAGATTTTAAAGTTCTAAATAGCCTTCGTTGTAGGATTACCAAAACTGTGTTTAGTCAGTCACGTGAGTTCAAGAATTGTTCTTGAAGTAAACAGTCACTGTCAGCAATCATAGCCCAAGTTAAGAGCAACTTCTAAAATGATTACAAGGATGCATCTTTGCTATAAATCATTGGTGGAAAAAGCTATTTCGTAGCAGCCATTCATGAGGTATTTTTGAAGGGCTGTTTTTATAAATTCACCTCCTGCGTACATGCCTTTGTAAGCAAACCACGTGCCAAAATAAAGGGTGGAGAAGCTGCTAGTCAGTACAGTCTCGAGACCTCACCCTGCACAGGTCAAAACGTGGCCCCAGGAAGCTCCCGTGGGGTGCGGGGTGCCAGAAGCCTGCGCGAGGACAGGCGGGAGCAAGGAGGGAGGGTTGGCCAAATCAGCCCCATTGCTCGCAGGCTGCGGAAGGGAAGAGGGATGGGTAAGCCGGGAGCTAAGACGTAATTTCCCAGGCACAGCACTGGGAACAAAACTGTTGGGACAGAGAAATTAGGTACCTGCAAGATGATTATTTGTATTCTTCCTAAGCTCCACAGAAAACCAGTGTACTGAGGGCAAGGTGTGTATGTACAAACAAGTTAGAAGCTTTTTCAAAGCAGTTTGCCTTTTTTCCCCCCCGCTCCCACCGTTTCTCTTGTCGAACTCAGGGAAAGCCAGAAAAGGTACGAAAACATCCCTTTACTTGGTTGTAGCTGTCATTGTCATGTTTTGGCCAAAGTACTGATTGCATCAGCACTGTCAAGTAGTTCCCAAAAATCTTGGAAAACTTTAAAATAATTGTTAAGTAATGATAGCACTTCAAAAATTCTTTTTTCCCTCCTGTCAAATAAACTGTCACAACAAAACTTCTGATTAATGCTAATATCTGCAGAGCTACAGCTTTGCGCAGGCCTAATTTTTTGCTTCTTTGCTCATAGCCACACAAGTAGAGCAGAAAATTTAGAAGTCTTTGCAGGTCTGTGGGTGACAATGACAAGGTAGACAGACTTGGGCTTCCTACTTTGACATATTTGCATACAAAAAAATGTAGCTTGACATTTTAATGTCAATCTTTAAAAAAAAAAAAAAGAAGAAAGATTAGAAATGGAAGAAAATGTACTGTGATCTTTTTTATGAAATACTGGGGGGGGGTTTTACATACTTGACAGTGCCACTTTCAGTAACAGCTTTCACCTGTAACTCTGAGCTCACCATAATTTTGTGGTGGTATATGTGGGTTTTGTGATTCTGCAATAACTCCTTTGGAATATTTTTTTAATGATATGGCTTTATGGATATTTTTGCTCAAGAGTATGGCTGTTAATAGTGTTAAGTTTTACTGTTCTACTACAGAGAATACAAGCCAATGCAACAAGAAACATTTTCGCTCTTGTATGAGCTTAGACTTGGCTGATACAAGTCTTGGCTTGTGGGGAACTTTCAGTGAAGTGCTGGATCTTACAAGGAGTCTAATATTTTTAAGTGCATGTTCTGTGAATAGGCACCTGAGCCCTTAAAAAGTCCTTAAGGGACAGATTGTGCCTGCACGCCGTGCAAGTGGGGCTGTAACGGAGGCAGGTCGGTTGTGAGGCTTCTCGGTGTTGTATGCAGCTGATCCTAAGCTTTGAACTGCCTGTTGCTTGTGGCACAAGGAGAAAATGAGAACATCGCGTTGTGCTTTGTTTCTGTAAATACATCTCATCTTGTGACCTAACGACTATATTTCTTGCAGTGTTTAGTTACGTTTGCACGTTCAAATAAATTTAACCGCCAAGTGTTTTTACTTAAAAATGGGTTCTTTATCTTCCTTTAGGAGAGTGTTTGTGAAACTGCTATGTTTCTCTGTGCTTTTTAGATGGCTTTATTTTTCAGTGAAATATGAGATACGGAATTAAGATTTCTGAGCAGGCAAGGTTTTGCAAAGGGCTCAGTAGAAAAACACGCATTTGAATAAAGTTCTTTCAGTAATTTTTTTTTTCCCTCTCTTTTCATAATGAATAATTGATAACTATATCACAGGAGCAATTAATCATTCCAAAGGTTCGAGTATGAAAGGTAATTGCTTATCTGCAATAACATTTGCCATAATAATGGGGGGAAAAAACCCCAAACTGAACATGTGAATCAGTAACACCTGTGTTGTGTGATGCTATTATCTATGACTGCTGAGGTGTATTTGTGTCCCTTTTGTCTCTTTTTACTAATTTATGTACTAATTTACCGATTTTACTAATCGGTGCAGTTGAACTTTTATTGAAATTTAGTGTTCTTTCAAATGGCAAGTGAAGTCCTATTAGCTCCTTAGAAACCAGCTTTTCATCATCTGCAAGAAACCTTTGTATGGTACAAAGGGAAGCGAGGAGTAGAGAGGAAACTCTCTGCCTTGGAAATGCTTGTAGGGCATGATTTCCTTAATAATATGCTCTAATTACTCAGCTTCAGTCATGTTTTTCAGGTACCTTTTGGGGAATATTATAGCCTTTCCAAGGTAGAGCTGCAGTTGTTGGCTCCCTGAGCTGGGACTCTCCTCACTCTGTCATGGGCAAAAAATACCAGACAGTAACCTTCTACCTGCAGATAGAGAATGAGAATAAGGCAGGAAAATATTCCCACTTCAGGCATGCTTTGCTAACATCAGTTTCTTAATGCTGTCTAGTAAAAATTTTTATCTGGACTTTGCTGCATTTGTACATTTGTCTGCATTTTTAAATATGTGGAATGTCTGTGGCTGCCTTCCTGTATGAATGGGAGGTTTTCATGTAGTCTAACAGTCCTTCCTAAATCTCCAACTCTGCCACCAGCTCAGATTTTGGGTCAAAAATGTGCAGAGAATATTATAAACTTGACTGAGTGTCAGGACTGTGAGAAAGCCTCACTTTGTGCATTGGTGGAAGGAAAAGATGAGCAGTGCAGTTGCATTTGTAATCACATGGATTAAACAGACCTTGAAAGGGCACCGTAAAATAACTTCAGCAGTTAAAACGACAGCTGTCATTACTCTCCTTCATCAGGCAAGCTCAACAATCGCTCTGGAAGTCTGTATAAATACTGCTGCATTGTTTACAAAGAGCAATGGAGACGTGAGATAAAAATAATTCTGAGGAAATTTTTTCTTAAAGGAGACGTAGCCAAACAAATTTCCCTGTGTACAGGAAGGATGGCTTTTCAGAGAGGATGATTTTGTGGAAAAATAACAGCGCAACGGACTTAAATGTTACATGAACCTGATTTTTCTTTACGGTCATTGAGCTATAGGGATCTGCTTCATTCATTTAGGGTGAACTGCAGCTTCAAAACTCCAGGAAAGGACCTCTACACTAGTAATTATGATGATGTGACAAGTAGCCCATATTATTTCAGCTGACACTAAAAGCCCAACTTGCAGTTACCAGAAGAGAAAGTTCTTCAAACAGACAAAAAATAATCCAGAGTCAGTAAAATCAACCAAACAAGTACTCTCGATGACTGAATATCTTTTTTTTTTCTTTCATTTAATCAGTGCCAGTTCTTCTAGATCCCTGAATTTAGCTGCATTACTTTCCAGACTAAGTCTAATTTTAATTTTAAAATTAAAATTTCATTCATTCAAATTAAATTTTCATACTACACATACAAGAATATATATTGAAAAGTCAGCCATACTAGTCTGCATATATTTGTGTCCATCATAGATAAAACAGGTATTTAAAGGTTTTATTTCAGTTATGATTAACTTGTGAAATTAACCGTAATAGTGTAGTGCCTTGGTCACAGTGCAGTTGAGACTGAGGTGATGTTCAGAATGCTTGTGCTGCTAACATGTTCTGAGTCACAAAACTCCTGTGTAAAATAAATGTTTCCTCTGTGCTCTGTAGGGTATAACCACCAGCGTACCTGTGAAAACCAAAGGCAGAAGTCTCCTGAATTCTACAGCAGAACAGCATCCGAATCGAATGTGTATTTGAATAGTTTCCATTACCCAGATCGTAGTTACAAGGACCATGCCTTTGATACCTTAAGCTTAGACAGTTCTGACAGTATGGAGACAAGCATATCAGCATGCTCACCAGATAACATTTCCAGGTAAAACACCTTTCTTTCTCATGTTGTAATGGTCACAGGGTTATAACGAAAAAAGAGAATATGTACATGAATGCTGCTAACTGGTCAAGAAAATATAAGATCATTAGACAGGCATACTAGCTAGTATTTGTGTAGCCTTTCATACTCAGGTTTAACTATCATCTCACGTTTTTAAAGATGGAAAATAAACATATGGAGAGGCTAAGTTGAAGGCCACAGAGAAATCGGTGTCAGTCCTGAACTGCAGTTATGCAGTTGTCGATGCTCTTTTCAGAGTGGGTAATACCTGAGCTTCCTTCCCTGGTCACTACAGGGAAGGAATTTCCTGTGATAGGAAATTTCTCAAAGACATGGCGACGATGTTACGCTTCTTCTGCAAGTCCAGCAGGTTAACTTACTAGAGCCATATGCTGAAACACTTAGGGCTCCTCTGGCAGTCTTTTCTGCCCTTTCCTCTCACTCTTCTGGGTCAGTAAAAACAAAGAGATGACACTGAGAGGCTTAGAGCCCTCTGTGGCTTTTCTCATCCTCAGAGTCTGTCAGCCTAGACACCGCTCCTCACATAACACAGAACATTGATGTTCCTTTTAAAAGTCAAGCCGAGTCTCAAAACTGTGTGCAAACAATTTTTCTTCTGACAGTCTGGTTTTAATGATAGCGCTTTCATTTCTGCTTGCAGTCTTGCCCCAGCAGTTTCACAAGCATAAGGGGAGGCTGATAATTAGGTACAACATTGTCACGGGATTAAGAATCCCTTGCAATCACAAGGACAGGTTTTTTGGCTAGCATGTTGTCTTTTATTCAGCATCTGTTTCCTGTAACAGGGTATCAGCCTGCTGATTTCCTCACACAGTCTTCATCACTGCAGTGTTAAGGGCTTCAGAAAATACCAGTGGCACTCATTCTGCTGGCTGGGTTTTTGTTGTTGTTCGTTTGGTTTTTTTGGTCTTGTGTTTTTGGGGTTTTTTTTAAGTAAAAACATTAGGACTCAGGTTTTGAGGATTTCTGTTTTAAATAGAAACACTATCAGCAAGTTTCTGATAGCTGGAGACAAGCTGGGAATTAACTCTGTCTCCGCAGCGAGCTAACAGGGCAGTGGTATGAAATCTGCCTCTTTGCTGCTCTGATCATTTTGGAAGAAGATGGTGTGTGTCTGAGCTACCTCAGGGCCATCTTGTAAGTGGAATCTCCAGCCCAGGACCTGGGAGCCCTGATGGCTGTTGACTTTCACTGGTGCTGTTTCCCCTTCTGCCTCCCTCTGGCTCTTCTGCAGCTTCCAGCCAATGCCAGAAGAAAAAAAAAACACGAACAAAACCAAAAAAGCAATCCAATCCAAAAACCAGAAAAGGACCCATTATGACAGACTCTTCTGTTTCTCACAAGGCAAACTTTGATGAGGGAAGAAAAGAGTGTGGGCTGACTTCGTTGATAAAACTTGGAAGACAGGCGGTTACTTTTCCTTGACAAAACTTCCCTTAAGCAAAATCAATTCAGATTGTTTTAGATGGTGTTTGAGAATCTTTTCCAGCCATATCAGACTTTAAAGGAAAACAATTATGATGCTTTGTTCTGACATATTTAAAATATATGCTATATTTTACCTTGTATAAGGTGAGAGAGACTTTTTTTGCTGGAAATGCATAAAATCTGCTTCTGCTCAAAGTACAGAAGAAACAGAACTGCTGTAGTCATTCATCAACTTGCCAAGCCGTAGTTGTTCCAAGGTTCATTAGCAACTTCTTCTTTGTAGCCAAGGTTTCAGAGATTGTGATCTGCTGTGCATTAATTTCTGTGAGCAGGATAAGCAAATCAAGGATTAAGCTAAACTGAAGGGTTAACCAGTTTAACATTGAAAAACCGACTGCGATTAACTGTTGCAGGTTGCTCACATGACTTTTAATTTACCGCCCCGTTGCTTTTACTGAAGTTATTTGAGACAGATTCTTTTGGCCCATCAACTAAATACACTTTGGACAAACTAGGCTTAGGCATCTAAGTCAGTGGCCTCCCTTTTTTCTAAAACAATAAGCTTTTAGAGTTTAGATAGATTTCAGGTGGATTATACCTTTTCTGCAATCTTGGGTTAAATGAGGTATGTTATTTTCACCTTGTATTGTATTCGCTCAGGAAACATATCCCCAGACAGAGAAATGTCTTCTGAAGACTGTCACACTTACGACAAAAATCCTGGTCGTACAGACAGGAGCGTCAGAGGCGTGCTCAGAAAGCAAAGGATGTTGTTCTTACTTTTTTTCTTTTCCTTGCCCAGGACACATATTTGGACTACTTCCATTCTACCTGTGTCCCTCCGCAGTTGGTCTGTATGCTGTTCAGCAGCATGAACAAATCTGCCATCTGACACCCACTTCCACTCCAGTGGTCAGATAGCGTTTTCAGTGCAGTCCCACGTCAAGTTTCTCTCTGCCCTAAACGTTTGAATCCATTCTGGTTCCTCGTGATGTGCCTTAGTCTAATGGCATATTTAATGGTAATACAGTAAAAACTAACATCAACTGTTTTTCTTGAACGGCCTAAGATAAAAACTAAAATAAAGAGCATGCCATGGAAATGGCCACTGTTGAAACGGCTGTTAAATTGAGATGAAACAAAGAAATTATGTTGGAGAAGAGAAGCAAAATTAAAAAGGACAGGCAAAGGTGACAGCGGTGCTGTGCTGGGCCAGGATCCAGCACTCTTTTGTGATTACCTTTGTTCCTTTGGCTTGCCGGTTACTTTAACTAGCAGATCCTTCCTGACACTACTGTGTCACTGAATGGCCTCTATGCATACCTCTTAACCCTCCTTATTTTCATCGAGCTTTTTTTGATGGTGAGCTCAGGGAGACACAAAACAGAGACAGTCTACAGCCAAAGACTGGTATACTCAGATAGCTACTAAGGCCATCTCTGAGGATTACTGGTGTGTTCTGTTAGGACATGGTAACCTCCTGCACCCCTATTCTGTTATCTGGGAGAAGATGGCAGATCACAGGGGACCAGCAAGATGCATTTTTAGGCACTCAAGTCTGCATTTTTCACAACTCTGCATGGGGAATGTATACATTGAGAGCGTACCATATTATACATCATTTTTTGTTAGTGCCTACTGCACTGAATTGGATCAGAACAGTATCAACTCCGTTCTTAAACTGTCTAATGTAGGACTGTAAAATACATCTTTAAATACCAAGTATTCTTTTAAATAACTTTTTGAATTTTTTTTGTGCAGTGCTAGCACTTCAAATGTTGCAAGAATAGAAGAGATGGAGAGACTTCTGAAACAAGCACATGCTGAAAAGACTAGGCTGCTTGAGACCAGGGTAAGCATAATTTTATGAGTAAAGCTAAGAATGAGCATGTTAGATAATTTCCTCCTAAATGCAACATTGGACCCTAAATAGTTTACATCTAATAGATACTTTAAAAATTACCTCTCCCCCCTTAGTTTGGTCTGGTTTCACCCTCATACTATATCTTTGATACTGTACGCAATGGCTGCTATCTCAGTGCGTGAGTTGTTGGCAAAATCCCATCAGAAGCTAGGTCAGCGTTGTTCCTACACCTGCTAAGAGAGCTACTTAAGAAGAATCTTAATTTACAGTGTGGTAATCTTTGTAATTCTGATTCCAATTCTCAGTCCACTTTGCTGGATACATATTTCTGCCTACTTAAGAGGCAAAAAGGGATTTAGTCCTAGCTTAGAAATTACACTATCAACTGTAGCTTCACATATAATTGAAGTTCTGCATGTGCTGTGGTATTTAGGAACGGGAGATGGAAGCCAAAAAACGAGCTCTGGAAGAAGAGAAGCGACGCAGAGAGCAACTGGAGAAAAGATTGGAAGAAGAAACTAGCCAGAGGCAAAAATTAATTGAAAAGGAAGTCAAAATACGTGAGAAACAAAGAGCACAGGTGAGATACGTTGACATGAAACGGTTTTTAAGTGCAACACTTCCCCTTGATATACAGAAGGGACTAAGTGTGTAACTGCCAATGGTAAAGACAGCTGCTTTCAGTTGAATAGACAGATGTAGTATTTCTGAGCTGTAACTGTGCTGCTAAAAGTATGTTTGGGCTCTTGGAGCCTTAGATAGACGTCTGAGTATTCATTTAAAGGTAAATAGCAGCATAGATACCTATTAGCATCTTATATCTAAAGTATAAATATTAATTATATAGGGTTTATTACTGAGTATGGGCAGAGCAGAATTTTTCAGCCTAAACAACAGAAGTCTGTGAGTGTGTTAATTTTATAAACAATTGGTGTTTGTTTTTTTCTTTAATATGTACAATATCTTGGACTGTGAATTGTCATTTCCAAATATTTGACCAAAAAAAACAGATAAAGAAGCTTTTCCAGCTCCACGTCTACTGTAGAGAGGAAACAGTATTTCTTCTAATGTTACTGGGACTATACAACATGAGAAACATTATTTAATTAAAACAGCGTTACCTCCTACATCATTTTGCTTCTTGTTAGGATTTAGAGGTATCTTGAGCTTTCTTTAGGCTTAAAGGTTTTACCTATGTGTTTATTCCACCACAACTAATGAGATCTACATGGTACAGCAAATAGATTAGACAGTCATTTTATCATTAGTGTAGTATAGCAAGACAATGTCTCCATCTTAATGTATGTATCTGAGTTCAGAAGATTCCATATAGCATATTTGGATACCTTTCTGCTTTTATCTGTGCTACCTTTACTAAATCTTTGTTTCATGAGTCACTATTACTTTTTTTTAATGATCATTTCTATATAACTTGCCTTTCTAATTGATAACACTAAATCAGAACAATAGGAGAACCTCAGAAGAACTTTAAGCTTTTTCTGGTTAAATAAATCCATTTCCGTGTTTTTATATAAAATGTAATTACCAAATGTTAATTTTTTGTGTACTTTACCTGAATGCCTTCTTTTTTCTCAGAAATTTTAATGACAACTCAACTATGGCGTAAACAATGATGCAATCCTTATATCTTTATCCCAAATTGGAGCATGCATATGTTGTAATAGAATGCCCTTATTAGTTACTGATAATTGGCAGACTTGGCAGCAAGGGCTGAAGACTGAATTGGCAGGAAGACAAAATATGTCTGTTAAAAATAACTATGATTTTTTGTTAACTTTTTTCTTTCCTTTGTACAGTGAGACCCAATTTTTCTCTTTTTTTCAGCACTTCCTGACACTTAGAAACGTCAGCTAGGAGAAGGAACTCCATCTTTGCACTTGCCAAAGCTGGTGCCAGCTTGTATCATACAGGACTGCATAATTTTAGAAGGGTGCTGAGAGTTCTTGTGGGCAACACAGCTCCCGTTGCCCCAAGAGGTTCTTGAAAACGCAATGAGGGAAAGTCCCTTCGATTTGTGACTCTCAGTGGGGTTTAACAGGCTAACTTTAGGCATGGGGCAGGGGCAGATTAGATTCTCCAAATCACTGACCTCTCTGGAGTCAGGGGAGAGAGGGAGATGCCCCTTTCATGTGTCATTCAAAGAACCTAAATTCAGCTTCTGTTCTGAATTGCCCTGTGTTGTAGCCTCTGTCTGCCTTGACTGCATCAGGAGCCTTGGGAGACTTACCTTCTGTGTTTAAAATGGGGAACGGGGGCGCGCAGACCCTTCAGGCACAGAAAACAAGCATATTCCCTCGGCTGGCAGAGGTCCCTCCTCCTGCTTGTTCTCCCAGCTGACGCCCTCCAGGCTTGATGCAGAGTCTTGAACTGCAGGCAAGGATGAGGCACCGTTTCCTGCGCGGCTGTGCGGTCTCTTGCAGGGGAGTGTGCTTCGGCTCTCCATACTGTATTGCCACTGTGAATCAGATACCACATTTAACTCGTTCGGAAGAGAAAAATCCTATTTCGTTCACAGCAATCTCTGAAAAACTAACTAGTGGTTCCAGTTCACTCTTATATTAATTTTTCGTGTGATAGCATGTTCTTATTATTTATATTATACTTCGCATGAAAATACCTGTAGCAGTAAAATATTAACGAGTGAGATACGTGTAGCAAGTATCTAGCCCAGAGAAATAAAGGTTTTGCTTAACATCATGCAAATTAAGTTCTTACACTTCAACTAAAGCAGCAACACACCTTTATATTTAATTAATGTTTTAATTCTAAAACAACCTTTCTGTGCCGTGGCCCCTGTTTTACCAGCTTATCATTTGATCATTTCAAAAAACTCCTATGCTCTAATCTCACTTTTATGAAGTTATCCAACATTTTGTAAAGTTCCAAGTTTTAAGGATTTTTCTTTTAAAGAAAAGCAAAAGCTTTTTATTTTCTTACCTTCATTCTTAGAATCTATGGGCAGTTTACAGTTATGTCCTTGCAGCAGAAAGAGTGGCGGAGAAGTTAATGCTTCTGCTAAAAACAATATGATTTTCTTTTCTTAACTGTAGGCTCGTCCCTTGACTCGCTATTTGCCCATTAGAAAGGAAGACTTTGACCTACGAAGTCACATCGAAACAGCCGGTCACAACATAGAGACCTGTTACCATGTCTCCCTCACAGAGAAGACCTGCCGAGGCTTTCTGATTAAAATGGGAGGAAAAATTAAAACATGGAAAAAACGATGGTTTGTTTTTGACAGAAACAAGAGAACTTTTACATATTATGCAGGTAGGTTGCAGGATCACTACTAGGCTACCTGTCCCTCTATTTTCCTATCA